TGCGCAACACCAGTCTGTGTGTGTGTGTGTGTGTGTGTGTGTGTGTGTGTGTGTTTTGCATATTTGGATTGGTTTGGTGGAAAATGGGAATAGGTGCTGAAAAAGCAAATCAATTGGGTAAAAGTGTCAGTATTCAAGGTCAGGTAAAAATGGTAATTTACACTCTACTAAACACTGGGCTGAGAACACTGGATATGAGTGTCTTTTTCTATGAGGAATTAATATGGCTTATGAAATAAATTGCATAGTATGTGCCTTGAATTTCCATTTTATAATGTTGAGGGTTTTTTAGATCTATTATTTTCAGGAATTGTCTTTTTGCAGAGTGAATAAAAATCGCACTCTCTCTATTAACATTTTGTTTATACCAGGGTTCTGTCTCATATAGAAGAGTGCTTTAAACTTCCTATTCAATTACTCAGGGGCTGGGCTATAAATTTAGTATTATATACTCCCTACAGTGCATAGTGGAATGTCTGCTGATGTCCTTAGGAAGTTTGTAGAGAGATCAAGACGATGATATGGCCATTATGTTGTAACTGAACATTTGGCTATTTTGTTCAGTGCATTATTGTCACATTTACTGCTCAGTGACAAGATCTGCTCTCATTTGGGCCACTGTTATTTCTGCCTTTTGTTTCTTTTCTTTTCTTTTCTTTCCCATCCTTCCTCCTTCTGTCTTTGTGGGCCCTCAGTTGTCTCTGCATTTCCTTCTGTTCAGCAACTTCCAGTTTCAGACCCAGTGTGCTTCACTCCCACCTGTTTCTACATTCCATCTGCTAAAATGATCAATAGTAAAATACTTTAATGTTGACAGTGAAGTATCATTGTATCATTTTAGAGTTGACACTCCAGTGTGATTCATAGGGAGAGGAGTGTGAGTCAATTTCAGGCTGCCTTCAGACTCAGGCAGATTTCACTGAATCAGGTGACCTAAATGTGAACTATGTTTTTATTTCTGAAGCCAAGAGGGCTAGAAACTTATTTAAAAAGGGTGGGGGCGGGAGGGGAGAAGGAAGCTGTGCTTCTACACAATTTTGATACATCTTGTGGGTCATACAGATATACCTTACAGGCTGTATGTTTGACACCACTGGTTTATACTAATTGCTGATTATTTACTTCCATTTACTGTGCAAAATACTTATCCTTTTTCCCCCCAGCAGTTTCGTAAAGGGTGATCCAGCTGCGTTTTTACCCATCATCAGTTATTCCTTCACGTCCTTCTCAACTTACATAGCAGAACTTTTGGTGGAATCTGATGTAGAGCTCACGGCTAAAAGTGATTTGCGTTTTATTGAAGCTATCTATAAGGTATCTAATTTTATGTTCATTGAGTTTTATGTATCTGATAATTGCCAAACATTTAATATGCGTCTCTGCTGGGTAATAGAATAATTTTGAAATTGTAATATTGGTGACACAATCATTTGGTAACACCTGCACAAGAGGTTTGGGGCACAGGTCACTTGCTGGAGGATTCTCTGCACCTTGAAGTCTTTAAACCACAAGTTGAGGACTTCAATAGCTCAGACATAGGTCAGGGGTTTGTTACAGGAGTGGGTAGGTGAGATTCTGTGGCCAGCGTTGTGCAGGAGGTCAGACTAGAAGATCATAATGGTCTCTTCTGACCTTAAAGTCTCTGAGTCTGTGAGTAAATTTAGCTGGGTTGATTTGTAAAGCATATTCAATGTGACTTCTGCTTGGTGTCTAGAGTCAAGATTTCAGAGGAGCCATGACCAGTATGTGGCAGGTCCAAATTTTGATTTATAACTTAATGAGAACAGTGAAGGTTGATATTAGCTCAACTTTACTCTTTTTAGTTGATACTATTATTGTTTGTATTATTGTAGTTGCTAAGACCGCCAGTCATGGACTAGGACCTCATTGTGCTGGATGGACAGAGAACAAAAAGACAGTCCCTGCCCCAAAGAGCTTACACCAAAGTGTAAGACAAGAGACAACAAATAGGTACAGGCAGATTGATAGAATACAGAGAAACAATGAGACATAAGTGGTCAGAATGAGAAGCTGTGGTATCAACATACCAGAAGCCTAACCAATGTCAAGTTATTAGAAAATACTGTGTCATAATTTTCTATTAAATGACATCTTAAATCAACAGACTGTAGATATGTAAGCTTACCTGAAACATTCATTGTACAATGTATTATGCAGCCTGAAGTTGACTGAGAGTGTGCTTTATTGCCACTGAGGAAATTAAAACCAATTCTAAGTGTTCATTTTGCAAACAACTGTTCTTGAGTTGTTCCTATGATGTGTCTTTCACACTGGTGTCTATAACTAAGGTACATGCAAATTTGATCTTTTTGATACTGGCACCGTAATCTCATCAAGACTATTAAAAATTCTATACAATCCTAATATTAAAGATACATTAGACTTAAAAATCTAAGAATTACTTGCATTGTATCCTGATTATTTTACTATTGATCTAGTTTATAACAATTGGAGAAATTACAATTTGCTACTTAAAATTGTTGAAGTATGGGTTAGAGAATACATGTAGGCAAAACTGTGTACTGTAGGTTACAATAACATAAGGAATATTTCAGACTTGCTATTTTATATATAAAAACACATTTCACTCTTACATGCTAATTAAATGAAAGTGAGCTGGCTAAAGCTCAGCACAGACAAGCATGAGAAGATGATGTTGGGCTGCAGGAAGCAGTTGGAGGAGAGGGTGGATGTAATATCAGTTTTCTTGCTTGAAAGAGTGTCTGCCATGAGTTACCTAGGTTTGCAACAAAGGATGATTTTGGACACCCTCCCTCCCCATAGTTGCAGTGAGGTGATTCTATAGCACTAAACCAGTCAACTTTTTACAATCTGGTTCTGACTAAGAGGTTATGAATTTTCCTTTTGAATACAGACCTTGCCACTGTTACCCACTTCTATTACTGTAAGATTAGACTTTTGTAATAGACTGTACTTGGTGCTACACCTTAAAAGAGTTTGTAGGCTGAAGCTGGTGCAGAACTCAATAGTGGCTCAGTATTGAGCAGAACATCTTATTAGGAGCATGTGACACCAGTTCATTGCTGTCTGTCTGGTCTCCAGTTAGTTTAAGGTGTTGGCTATGATCTCTAAAGTCCTAAATGGCCTGCAATCTGCATATCTGGGGGATCCCCTTTTTCCCTGTGGCATACTGCCATAGCTGCAGTCAGCTGTGGTGCACAAGTGGGATTCCAACTTATTAAAAGAGGGGGGGATTGTGGGAGAGACATTTTGTGTGGTTTCCAGGGCTCTGGAACTTGCTCCCTCACCTTGGTCCAAAATAGCTTGATTTGGGGTAATCCTATGGGCTTTCCTCTGGCTTTTGGAGTGTGTTGAGGATATACTCCTTGCATTATGAAGGGATGAAAAGGAGCTTTTTTTAATAGGTGCCTGGCCGAGTCTTTTCTGATTGATGCTTAATGCTTCTGGTGTTACTAACTGAGGGTGTCTCTACACTGCAGCTGGGACCATGCTTCCTTGTGCAGGTAGACAGCAGGTTAGCACACTAAAAGTAGCAGTACTCGGGTGGCTAGCCCAAGCTGCTGCCCATGCTGCTGCCACACTGCTATTTTTAGGATGCTTGCTTGAGCAGAGCTAGCACGTGTCTGTCTACCTGTGCTGAAAACATGCTTTCAGCTGCAGTGCAGATGTACCCTGAGAGCTAGGGTGTTAAGCCTGTAAATGCATCATCTTTTTAGATTTTTATTCTTTTAAAATTGAAATAAAATCTGAACAACAGTTATTAATTTTTAACCTTGTCTGATATGGTTAGGTAATAAATATTTTAATGTACTTTGTTGCTAGCTGGTTGGTTCATGTGTGTTTCAATTTAATCTAAAGATTGTACACAAAAATCTTCCCATCAAGTTCATAATGTTCTGCTTTAATGAATATCCAAGATTTCTAACTTTTAGATCTTGATTCAAACTGAATTAAATTATCAGCTGTTTTTACAAGGTTCTCCCCCCACCCCCACCCATGGAATTGAATAGACTAATTTGTCAAGTTATTTCTTTGAAAGTTTCTTTATAGATAGTTATGTAGTTTTAAACCATCCACATTTTAAGTCATTACATTTTAAACATAAATATGAAGACTTACAGGGACTTCTGCTTGTTATATACAGGCTGCAGTATAGGTTTTTCACTGGTACAGCGTATGTAATTATCCTTAAATTACCTTATAAATATGTTGTATGCCTGGGTTAAAAGTAGGTGTGTGGTGCCATCTTAGTTAAGACACTTTACAAAGGTGTAGGTTTTTTGGTTTTTGGTTTGTTTTTTTTTGGGGGGGGGAGGGGTTGGTGTTTTTTTGTTGTGAGGGGGAAATACTCAAATGTAGGTTTTTAGTTGGGTAGAGATGTGCTGCCCATTTTAACATTAAGTAAAAATATGGTTTCAATTCTCATATTCCTGTAAGTGCCAGTTATTGTTGAAATAAACATCATACTGGTATCAATAGATTAAGAATAAAAATATTTGACTTTTGTAGAGCGTTGTATTTAATCCAAAGAGATTCATATAAATACACCTTTTCTCAAATTTTTTAAAGTTTTTGTGAAATTCTGCTTTTTATTATAGCAATGCACTTCACAACATGACACTACACTTTGTATCTATGATTCTGTATGTTTTCTAACTACAAGAGTATTTAAGCGCTATAATAGGTTTGTATGGGAGGTTGTGGAATCCCCATATTGGAGACTTTTTAAAAACAGACTGGACAAACGCCTGTCATGGATGGTCTAGGTTTACTTGGTTCTGCCTCGGTGCAGGGGGCTGGATTTGGTGACCAATTGAAGTCTCTTCCAGCCCTTCACTTCTATGATTTTATAATTGGGGGGGGAGGGATAGCTCAGTGGTTTGAGCATTGGCCTGCTAAACCGAGGATTGTGAGTTCAATCCTTGAGGGGGGCCACTTAGGGATCTGGGGCAAAATCAGTACTTAGTCCTGCTAGTGAAGGCAGGGGGCTGGACTCGATGACCTTTCAAGGTCCCTTCCAGTTCTAGGAGATGGGATATCTCCATTTATTTATTTATTTATTTATTTATTTAATTCTTTCTAGAGCTGAAACAAACAAAACTGTTTTTACTGTGCATTCATATTTCTGGAACTCTCCAAAACTTTTTTCCAAACTTGCTTATTTGTTTAGACACGTATTAAGTTTGGTATTTGTATTTGCTTTTGTTTTTTAAAGGAGTGATTTGATTTAAGAGTGCCTGGTAGATTGGCATACGATGGGAGTTCCAGTTATGGGGGCAGTTTAGAATATATACAAAGACCAACATGTGAAAAGATTCACTGGCAAAGCTAAAGGGGCAAAAGGGGCAATTGTGCAAAAATAAGAACAAAAATATAGTTTCTACAGAACAGAGAATATACAGAGGTCTGGGAAACTAATAAAGTTTTACTCTCTTGCAGCTACTTCGAGATCAGTTTCAATACAAACCAGTTTTAACAAAACAACAGTTTCTCCAGTGTGGCTTTGCAGAAAGGAAAATACAGATGGTTTGTGACGTTATCAGTGCTGTGATGAAAAAGCATAAGGAATTAAGTAATATGAATAAGGTACTTCAGATATGATTTACAGTATTTGAGAGAAAGATTAACTATATTTTGTAACATATTTCAGTTCAAATGTTGCTCTAACTAAAAAAAGAACTACAATAAGGATCACTGAAGTTAGAATAGGGGGGTAAAAACCCTAAATCAGAGTCCATCCCCTTACAAATTCAGTATGTACTCTCCCAATATAGAGGATTTATCAGATATTTAAGTGATTCTGCACTTGCTGCTAGCCAAAGGACCTAGACCAGGGGTTCTCAAACTTCATTGCACTGCGATCCCCTTCTGACAACAAAAATTATTATACGACTCCAGGAGGGGGGGACTGAAGCCTGAGCCCGCTCAAGCCCCACTGCCCGGAGTGTGTGTGTGGGGGGAACGGGGGGGGACACACATAGCCAAAGGGCTTCAGCCCTGGGTGGGGAGGGTGGAGAGACTGTAACCTGAGCCCCACTGCCCAAGACTGAAGCCCTCAGGCTTTGGCTTCAGCACCACATGGTGGGTCTCGGGCTTCAGCCCTAGGAGATAGGGCTCCAGCAAGTCTAACGCCAGCCCTGACAACCCCATTAAAATGGGGTTGCGACCCAGTTTCAGAACCACTGACGTAGACATACTAACATTTTGTAGTGAACAGACAAAATTTCAAGCAAAGATAAACAAATTCACGCCTATTAACAGTAAGTTTCATGTACTCTGTTACGCTTCTGGATGTAGTGAGAATATCGTTGTAAAATAGTTCATTGTACTTCTGGAACAACTTAAGGTAGATAGGAACAAAAATTGAACATCTGCTCGTTTTGGGGTTTTTTTTTTTTTTTTTTTTTGATTTTCTGAAAAGTGTGACACCTAACAATATAGTGTTCAGAAACAAACAAAACAAACTTTTAAGTCCAAGCATCTGCAACAAATTGTGTGTCTGTATATATTCTTACTACTTGTATGTGAGTTTTAGTTGGATTTCACAATACACAGTTTGGATCTTATTTATATATAGATCTTAATATACATTGATTTAGAATTAGGGCAGGTAAGAAATCTAACACATCAGTTGATACTGGGTGTATGGGCAAGTTCCTTTCAGAAAAGAAATTTGAAACGTTTCTATCTCATACGAACTTGTAGGATGTAGATTGGGGTGGTCAAACCACGGCTCGCAGTTAAAGTGCAGCTCACGGAGCCCTCCGTGTCCCCCCACCCCATTCTCCGCCTACCAGACTGGAGCGGGGGGTGAGCTCGAGGCTTCTGCCCAAGGGGAAGGAAGGGTCTCAGGGCTTCAGCCTCGCTGGAGGCACCTGCCACGGCTTGGGGCTGAAGCCCTGGCAGATGCCTTCCCCAGGGCAAAATTCCCTAGCCCTGCCGCAGAGCAGGAATTCTGCAGGGCTGACGCCCTGAACCCTGACAGGCACGCCCAGCTCTCGAACTTCTGAAGATTATCGCATGTGGCTCAGCGGATCAGTAAGTTTGGCAACTCCTGATATAGATAATCATTGCATGTAACACTAGTGTTAAGAAGTTCTATTATATGCATTTGTAACTTGTGACCCTTATTACTATAAGGATATATTTTCCTATAATTTTTTTTTAAATTAAGTGTTAAATACCTTACAAATATTTTTTCTTTTATATCCATGACCAGGCTAGACCCAACCTCATATGTGCAAAATGTGGTTTGAGAATGTATGTATATTAGATTCACTTTCAAGTGTTTGTTTTAGACATTATTAGCATTCTTAATTTCATATTTTTTCTATTTTTGGTTAATATTTTATTTATTTTAGGGGGGGAAATGACATTGCTAATGTGGATTTTTTGTTTATTTTGAAGGCTAAATCTCAAACAAGAAAAAAAAACAGGTCTTTAAAATCTGAGTCACAGGCAAATTGTGAGAAACTTCTTGCTGATTCTGTTATTTGCAGGACTGTGATTTCTCAGCAGGTATGAAACTAGAAAGAAAATTGTTTGCTTTTTTTATGTGTACAGTTTAAAGTTCTTTGACCCTGGTGATATTAACGAATCAAAGTAGGGCTGATCTGCAGTTGTTCAGCAAGCCAGTACCTTCCTAGAATGTAAGCTTCCATTTAAAATAAACAAAAACTTTAGTTGTGAAGATAAGTGTAAAAACAAGATGCAAACAGATGCAAAGACTGGCTCTGAGAAATGTGCTCTGCTTCAGTTCACACTGAAGTCTAATGATGGTATTTAAAGTATTGTTATAAATTTACTGTTTCATTGGTGACCAAATATGAAAGAAAGGAGAGGGACAAACATAATATGAAGACATGCATAATCTATTGATGATGGGTAGAATTTGGGCTATGAATGTAGTTTGAATTCTTTCCAATCTGACCGTAGGTAATACTAAACTAATCTGTTATCAGAAATACTTTTTGATATTCTGCCAAAATCTGGAAATGTCTCTTCATAACACATTTCTCAGTATAATATGTTTGATCTACTAACCTCTGCTACTGTTATACTGTGAGGGAGGCAAAGAAGTTTTACTCTTATTGTTTGCCATAGAGGCAGCAAAGTTACACCCTGCAGAACTTTACAGAACTGTAATTGTTTAGGAAATCCGGACAGTCTCTACTCAATGCATCACTTGCTGTTAAAATCTGTCCTCGTCACAAAGATTACCTGCTTCTGGCATGATTTACCACCTGACCCTACCCTTTTTATATGATAGAGTAGAACGGGGAACACATGGGACTCCTATGGACAGATAGTCCACAGCTCCTTTGAAGAGAGGAATCTGTCAGCCACATTAAAATATGCATTAATCAACCAGCATTGAAGAAACCATTGATTTGCAGAGTTCCGAGTATCAATCATTGACCATTGGTTACCTCCTTTTTTAAAGCATGCTAATTGAGAAGCTAGCAGAGAAGTCTCCAATTCTACCTTTCAGCTGCCAGTGTTCTAGATCCTTTTCATTCCGGCTTTTGATCAGTGCATGATACAGGAAAAGAGCTTATTGCTCTGCAGGAGTAGGTCTTCCATCATAGACAAGAGAAATAGATTCCTACTCATTTTGCTAAACTTCTTGTGACACTTGATACTATTGATCACCTAGTACACCTGTCCAGTCTGCAAGAGACTTCAGGGGAAAATGGAAATACTCTGAAATGGCTCAGATTCTTATTGTGCTGAAATCAGAAGGTCATCATGGACAGCTGTTCTTCCACTTCCAAAGCCATCACCTCTGGAGTCCCACAATGCACATGATTCTTCCCTTTATTATCCTGTTGCCAATAGGAAGCCATCAAGGGTATGTCTACACTGCAATTAGACACCTGCAGCTTACTGGGGCTTGAGCCAATGGGCTGTTTAATTGTGGTGTATACATTCGGGCTTGGGCTGCAGCCTGAGCTCTGGGACTCTCCCACTCCATAGGATTCTAGAGCCTGAGCTCCAGCCTGAGCCTGAACATCTACACTGCAACTAAACAGCCCCTTGGCCCAATCCCTGCAAGCCTGAGTTAGGTGGTATGGGCCAGCTGCGGGTTTTTAATTGCGGTGTAGACATACCCTGAGAGATTTCTTAAAACAGGCTGAAGTGCAGGTAGTGCATGAATGACACTGAGCTCTACATCTCCTTTAAGCTAAATATAAACAACATTGTCCTCTTGCTTCCTCATAGTTTTGATCCAAAGCCTAGTTGAAAATATCTGGGTAAAGATATATAGGGGGAAAATTGGGGTGATGTCATTGTAGGGCACCAAATCAGGAAGAGGAGGTGGATCAGGCATTTCTATCACAAATAACAGAAATATCCAAAATACAAGACGTGATAGTAATGGGGAACTTTGCCCAGACATCTGTTGGAAAAGTAATACAGCAAAATATTTAGGGATAACTAACTAACAAGAATTTTAGTTATAAGCTGGGGACATATCGGTTGGAAGTAACGGAAGAGGAGAAGGACCTCGGAGTCCTAGTTGATCGCAGGATGACTATGAGTCGGCAATGTGACGTGGCCGTGAAAAAAGCTAATAAGGTCTTGGGATGCATTAGGCGAGGTATTTCTAGTAGGGATAGGGAGGTGCTGGTTCCGTTATACAAGGCACTGGTGAGACCTCATTTGGAGTACTGTGTACAGTTCTGGTCTCCCATGTTTAAAAAGGATGAAATCAAACTGGAACGGGTACAGAGAAGGGCCACTAGGATGATCCGAGGAATGGAAAATCTGTCATATGAAAGGAGACTCGAGGAGCTCGGTTTGTTTACCTTAACCAAAAGAAGGCTGAGGGGGATATGATTTCTCTCTTTAAATATATCAGAGGGATAAATATCAGGGAGGGAGAGGAATTATTTCAGCTCAGTACTAATGTGGACACGAGAACGAATGGATATAAACTGGCCATCGGGAAGTTTAGGCTTGAAATTAGACTGTTTCTAACCATCAGAGGGGTGAAGTTTTGGAACAGCCTTCCGAGGGAAACAGTGGGGGCGAAAGACCTCTCTGGCTTTAAGATCAAGCTTGATATGTTTATGGAGGGGATGGTTTGATGGGATACAGTAATTTTAGTCATTAGGTCGATAACAATGGTCAATGATGGGATAGTAAAAGTTACTACAGAGAACTTTTCCAGAAGGTCTGGCTAGAGAATCTTGCCCGCAATGCTCGGGGATCAGCTGATCGCCATATTTGGGGTTGGGAAGGAATTTTCCTCCAGGGTAGATTGGCAGAGGCCCTGGAGGTTTTTCGCCTTCCTCCGCAGCATGGGGCAGGAGTCGCTTGCTGGAGGATTCTGAGCGACTAGAAGTCTTTAAATAATGATTTGGGAGTTCTACAGCTAAGTCAAGGGAGAGAATTCTTCCAGGAGTGGGTGGGTCAGGTTTTGTGGCCCGCATCATGCGGGAGGTCAGACTAGATGATCATAATGGTCCCTTCTGACCTTAGAGTCTATGAGTAAAACACAAAATTTCCAATATATTCTTGAAGTGTAGTGGGGACAAGTGGAATGTATTAGGGACAACTTTTTGTTTCAACAAGTGAAGGAAGTAAGTGGGGGCAGCCATTTTAGTCTTAATTTTGACCAACAGGGAGGAATTGGTTGCAAATCTGAAGGTGGAAGGCAGTTTGGGTGAAAGCGATCATGAAATGGTAAACTTCATAATTCAAAGGAAAGAAAGGAGTGAGAGCTGTGGACTTCAAAAAAGCAGACTTTTAACAAACTCAAATAACTGGTAGGTAAGATCCCATGGGAAAAATAGTCTAAGGAATAAGAGTTCCAGAGAGCTGGCAGTTTCTCAGAGAGATATTAAAGGCACATCTGCAAACTATTCTGATGCAAAGGAAAGATAAGAATAGTAAGAGGCCAATATGGCTTTTTCAGTAGCTCTTCAATGACCTGAAAATAAAAAAAGAATACTAGAAAAAGAGGAAACATAGATAATTGGCTAAGGAGGAGTACAAAAGAATAGCATAAGCATATAGGGACAAAATCAGAAAACGTAAGGCACAAAATGAGTTACACCTAAGTAATAAGAAGAGGTTCTATAAATTACATTGGAACCAAGAAAAAGCAAAGGAAAAAAAGAGGTCTCCAACTTAGCGGGGAAGGAATGCTAATAATGGACAACATCAAGAAAACTGAGGAGTTTAATGCCTATTTTGCATCAGTCTTCACCAAAGTTAATGATGACCAGCTACTCAACACAATCAATAAGGGGGAAGGAACACAAGCCAAAATAGGGAAAGAACAAGTTTAAAAATATTTACCCAAGTTAAATATAATCAAGTCGCCTAGGCTTGATGAAATTCATCCTATGAGACTGTTTCAGCTCGTTCCTTAAATCTCTGAACCAATAGCAATTATCATTGAGAACTCATGAAGGAAGGGTGAGATTCCAGAAGACTAGAGAAGGGCAAACATAGTACCTCTCTTTAAAGGGGGAAACAAAGAGGACCTGGGAATTATAGACTGGTCAGGCTGACTTTGATACCTGGAAAGATACTGGAACAAATTATTAAACAATCACTTTGTAAGCACCTATTGGATAATAGGATTATAAGGAATAGCTAGCATGGATATGTCAAGAACAAATCTTGCCAAACCAACCTAATTTCCTTTTTTAGCAGGATTACTGGCTTAGTGTTTAGGGAGGAAGCATTAGACATGATATATCTTAATTTTAGTAAGGCTTTTGACACAATCCCCTATGATATACTCATAAACAAATTTAGGGAAATGCGATCTAAATGAAATTACTATCAGGTAGGTGCATAACTGGTTGAAAGACCTTCCTCAGAGTAGTTATCAATGATTTGCTGTCAAACTGGGGGAGAATATCCAGTGGGGTCCACAGGAATCTTTTCATTAATGACTTGGATAATGGAGTGGAGAGTACACTTGTAAGTTTGCAGATGACACCAGGCTGGGAGGGGTTGCAAGCAATTTGGAGGAACGGATTAGAATTCAAAACAACCTTGACAAATTGGAGAATTGGTCCAAAACAACGAGATGAAATTCAATAAAGACAAGTGTGAAGAAGAAATCAAATGCACAACCACAAAATGGGGAATAACTGGCTTGGTGCTAGTACTGCTGAAAAGATTCTTGGGGTAATGGTGGATCATAAATTGAATGTGCATCAACTGTGTGATGCAGTTGCGAAAAAGTCTAATATTCTGGGGCATATTAACAAGTGTTGTACCTAAGGCATGGGAAGTAATGTTATATCAATAGAATAAAAACCAGCAGGATTTTATTAAGAGAGATAAGGCAAAGATGCCACATTTATTGTAAATATAATGATAAAGCAAAAGATAAAAGTAAACAATGTTGTTTGACTACTTATTTCTATTACTACTTATTCCTTATACATACACACACACACACACACACACACACATATCATTACACAATCATTTATTCTAAGTTTTGTATAGGTGTTATAGTTA